ACCCAACCACACGGCCTCCAGAGCTGGGGACGCCTGGTTGCAGAGATGCACTATAGGCTTCGCTGGTCCCCGAGAGCTTCCAGCACCCTCCAGGCTCACTCCACACACGTGCAGCACCCAGAGCCTTCGCTGTGCCCATCCTGAGCAGCACCTGTCCAGCAGGCTCCAAGAGGGAGGCAATTCCCCTGCCTGGCATCACCACCAGGATCTCCCAGCCTGACCCACAGACTTGGGGCCACACACCCTCCAAAACATCTAGAGACCCACACGAACTCACTAACATCCTTCACAAGGGCCCCACTGTGGATTGTAGCTCCCCACAGTTTCCTGCCCTCTGCAAGGAGCTCCCCTCGCACACCAGCTGAAGGCACTCGCACCCCACATCAAATCAGTGGCCAGTCTGCGGGCAAGCAAGTACAGACCCCTCAGCAGCGGGGGGAAAGAGGGCTTCCAGATCCAGTAGCATGCTCCAGTCCAGAATGGGCACCAGCTGGGCCACCAGGCAGAGGTCCTGGTGAGCCTTGACCACAGCAGCTGCCTCCACCCGCTGAGCCCTGAATCCAGAGAAATGTCCCCCAGTCACTGACACCAAGATGGGCCTCCCTGGCCAGCAGGTGCCATTCAGCCATGCTGGCAGAGAAGGTCTTCCCCGCCCGAGAGACCCGACTGCGAAAGGAGAAACAACTGGCTTCCAAAACCCTGGATGACCACTGGAGACCCAGAGACACGGTCTGCAGCCCCACCTGCTCTAACCGCAGGGTGAGGGCAGAGACGCGACGGCTGCAGGAAGAGGAGAAAAGAGACAGGACCGGAAAGACGAGGCAGCTTTGTCCTGCACGGACAGCCCAACCTTCCAGGGTCATGTAGGAGCCGCTCCTTCCCAGCCTCACCTGGTGCTGCCAGGGAAAGCACTCCCCGTGCCAGCCATGGCAGGAGTCACCACAAATATATTTATTAGTATCCGCGGGCCAGTACAAGCTTTCACTAGCCCATGCTTTGGCAAACAGAGAGGCAAGGCACGGCACCCAAGCAGAAAAGGTCTGTCCACATCACATCCCTGGAGCAGGGCAGCACCAAGCACAGATGCTGAGCCCTTCCGACAGCATCGACTGCCCCGCTCCACCCTGAGAGATGCCGGGGAAGAAGCAGGAGCACCAGGGTTCTCAACTCCAGAAGAGGACCTCGACACAAGGACACAAATTAGTGGTGAGGGAATTGGCCACTTCTGCGAACAAAAGTGTCCAAGCGTGTCTAGTCAAACCTGCCTCTGCCCGGCTCATCCCAGAGGGGAAGTCCTCTTTGCCACCCTCCTTCCCAGGCCAGGAAGAGGCACTGCACGGTGTCTCTTCTCTGCCTCCCATAATCCAGAAGCAAAAACTGGAAGGTAAAGATAAGTCATCTCGTCGCAGGATACAAAGACACAAGGTGGTTGAGTGCACCAGGCTCCGCTGAGCACAGTCAGCTCAGTGTTTTCTTGCCTCTGATACCTTCCTGCCACAGTGCTCCAAGAAGCCACTCAGCACTACGTTTTCATGGACAAATTCCCTCTAAGCAGGTCCAACCCTTGGGAGCACCATCTTGCAAGCAACAAAACAGAGGCAGGTACCGCGCAGCCCATGAGGGTTCCTAAAGCAGGGCCAGTCACCCCCAGAGCAGAAGCACTGGGTGAGAGCTATCAGCCCAAGCTGTGCCCCGTGCCAGCCCCCAGCACACGTGCCCAGGCACACGCACAGGGCTGCTGGCCACCCCGCCGTCCCTCCCCCCCGCAGCATTCCTCCACGGTCACACTAGCTACTGCAGAATTACTGGGGAGCCAGGCTGTCTGCCACAGACAAATGCCCACATGCCGTTATCTGGAGACCCCAGTGCCACCAAGCATCAGCAGCCAGGCTCCTCACCCCCCAGCAAGTTCTGCTGCACTTTTGTTTGCTCCTTGTCCTGGACCGTACCCACCGGAGTACTTAGCTCTGGCTGGCAGCCATCAGGCAGTGCACTAAAGAGCATCATGGAGTAACTGTTTCATCAGACAGGAGTGCTCAGCATGCACCACCTGAGGTTTCAGGAAGAACTCTCAGGGGATGTAAGGACTAGAGGGAAGCTCAGAAATATCTGAGAGCACTAGAAACAAGAGAAGGAGTACGGATGAGGACACAGCAAGCTGAAGAGACCATCTACTTTCAACCACAGAGTTGCAAGTCCAGAAGAAGCCTCAGCTGCACTTCCTGCAGCCAGGGGATCTACCAAGGAATGCCTCACCTTGCGGTCATGGACATTGGCCTCTGCCCCATAACCACACACATTCTCCT